GATGTTCGTCTGCCCCACCATGACCATTTTTGTCCATACCCCTGGGGTTCGAACTGTATTACTGTCCGTGTTTCTCTTGCCCTCTTGGAAAGAGGCCTCCACAGTCCTCGGCCTCCAGGAGCCCCTGGAGACCCTCAGGATACCTGTAGAGACGTCCATCAAAGACAACACTTAAGTGTGGGGGGCTAGGCTCAGGGGGGGTGCGACATCAGAGAAGGTTCTCCCAGGTTCGACGTTTTTGTTAAACAAATATAAAACAAAACTTCCATCAGTTCTCGGCGGCCTTCCAGCCTCGAGACGTGGGCCACCAGCTGCGGCTCTCCGAGGGCGTTCCGAGGGTGCCCAGGTCGTTCCGGACGGCCGCCACGGCCCAGAGTTATGACCAGAAGAAGGCAAGAGGGGGCGACGCGAGGGGGGGAGAGGGGGGGATGCACGGACCCCCGTCGCCCAGTCATCCCAGATAGGGGCCTTCAGCTCACCCCGCCCAGGAACCATTCGCTGAGGGATGCTTGTCGCCGACCTATCGGCCACGTTTGACTGAGTCTGGCTCAACAGTTCTCCCCCCGAGCCGGTCCTTCCCCCCTTATCGTTGCCCTTCAGTCCAGGGGTCTTCAAGGGCCTCAGGGACTCAGAGCGTCTGTGAAGACCTTGCCGACTCATCAAGACACTGTCGCCCCGTCGAGCTTTCTGTTCAGGCGTCCAGCTTCGAATTCGGGATCTCCAGGGGGTTCGGGAATCGAGAGCTTCTTTGCAAAACCTGCCAACCCATCAATGTCCTGACACCTCATCAAGCTTTATGCTCAGGCATCCAGCCAGGGCTGGACCTAAGCGCTGTTTTGCTGGACTCCCGCTGTGTTTGTTCCCTACCTAGGCTCTGCCTAGAAGGGTTCTTGCTCTTTTAGCTTAAAGGGGCCGGGCAGTGCAAAGCGCCCCGGGCGGTTCCCCCAGTCCCCTGGGAGCGGTTCCCCCCAGTCCCCTGGGAGCTTTAGCTTTAGCTTTAGCTTTAGCTTAGCTTGAGCTTAGCTTGAGCTTAGCTGTAGCTTAGCTGTAGCTTAGCTTTAGCTTAGCGTTCCGCTTAGCTTTTCGCTTAGCGTTTAGCTTAGCTTTAGCTTATCTTGAGCTTAGCTTGAGCTTAGCTTGAGTTTAGCTATAGCTTAGCTGTAGCTTTAGCTGTATCTTAGCTTTAGCTTAGATTAGCTTAGCTTTAGCTTAGCTTCAGCTTAGCTCCAGCTTAGCTTTAGCTTAGCTGCAGCTTAGCTTTATCCTAGCTGCTGCTCAGCTTTAGCTTAGCTTTAGTTTAGCTTTAGCTTAGCTTTAGCTTAGTTTTAGCTTAGCTTCAGCTTAGCTTTAGCTTAGCTTTAGCTTAACTTTAGCTTAGCTGTGGCTTAGCTTTAGCTTTAGCTTAGCTTTAGCTTAGCTTTAGCTTAGCTTTAGCTTAGCGTTACTGTTACTACTAATGCTGCTTTCCTAGGGGTTCCAAGTCCTAGGTAGGGTCGCACTGGGATAATTGTTTTTTGTTTTGGCAGAGACGTACAGGAACACAGGTAAAGCAAGACGAACAACAAAACGAGCACAAAACGAGCAACGACGTTTAGGTCCAGCCCTGCATCCAGCCTTGAATGAGGGGTCCTTGAACGTGGGGGGCGTGTGGGCTTTTCCACGAAGAAAGGAGCCCTCCCTGATGGCCTGCGCCGCCACGAACCTGTCCTTCCTTTACTTCCTGGAGGCCGAGCACGGCAGCGCGGAGAAATACGCCGACATGGCCGTGAAGGCCGACCGCTATAACGCGCGCGCGCTCGTGAACAAAGGCAACTGCATGTTCTACAACGAGGAGTTCGAGCGAGCGAAGGATCGGATGCTCATTTGGGGGGCCTTCCTAGGACCCACCTTGCAGATCTGTTCGACTCGACTTCTACCCCTCTTCGGCCCAAGTTCGACTCAAGTTCGACTCAGGTTCGACTCAGGTTCGACTCAAGTTCGTTTCAAGGTCAATTCGAATCGACGGACGTTCGACGCAGCTCCGACGCATGAGAAGGAGATCGAAGAAGAACAAACGGCATAAGCAGAAACTTTTGGCGCTCCGCGCGGATATTTCTCGGATCCGCGCCGGGCCCCCCCCGGCGGTGTTTCCGGGGCCGCCGCGGCGCGCTCCGCGTGTCAGGGAGGGGGGTCCAGCGCAGATCCAAGAAATCCGCGCGGAGCGCCCAAAGTTTATGTTTATGCCGTTTTTTCCTCTACTAGGAGATCTACCTGGAGGCCATCGGTGTCAGCGCGGACTGCCTCGAGGCCATCTACAATCTCGGCCTCGTCAACATGCACGTCGGCAGATACCAGGACTTGTTTTTTTGGGAAAGCGCCCACCACCCGCCCTCCTCACGCCCACCTTGCTCCTAGCTACTCTGTGGGCATCAGCTCCCGCCAGGGCCTTGGCAGGCCGACCCCACCAGGGCACCAGCTATTCGACGTCGCTCTCTCTTTTTTTGCTTTGTTTTGTTTTGTTTTGTTTTATTTGTGCTTCTCGTTTTGTTTTGTTTTATTGTGTTGTGGTTTGTCTTGTTTGTTGTCGACGCAGATCCCCAGAGGTCTGCAGATTCTGATTGCCCCTGGGCCTGGTGTTTGGGCCTCGGAGGCCGAGGACCGCCGAGCGCCCCCCGACGTGAGCTCTCCGCAGCGAGAGGAGGTGGGGGGCCTGGACGCCCAAACGCTCGGAGGGGCTCAATTAGGGGAACAAGAAGTGACATAAACATAAAACTCGGAAGTCCGCGCGGATTTCTCGGATCGGCGCTGGGGCCCCCCGGCGGCGCCTCCGGCGCCGCCCCTGGCGCGCTCCGCGCGCCAGGGAGGGGGGGGTCCAGCGCCGATCCGAGAAATCCGCGCGGACCTCCGAGTTTTTATGTTTATGCCACTTCTTGTTCCTTTATTGATGTATACACTACGACATGTGGCCCGTCCTCGAGCCAAGGAGTCCAGCGAAGGACTTCGGTGTGCAGATGTTCCAGCGCCCCACAGGTTGGGGAGCTGGGGCACCTGAACTGGCCGACCCCGACGTCGTGGCGTATGCACTGAGCCTCCCCCCTCCCCAAGACGGGCCCGTGAGCACCTGAGCGACGGAAGCGATCGGAACCGACAGCGCCGACATTCGCGCGTGAGCTTCCCGCGCAAGGTCTCGCACAAGGCGCCCTCTCCTCCCCACGCGGTGCGCCACGCGGGCGGCCCGCGCCAGCCGCGGCGCGAGGTCGCGACGTCTTCTCGTGCAGGATCCGTTTTGTTGTTGTTGTTGTTGTGGTTGTTGTTGTTATTGTTGGTGTTGTTGTTGTTGTTGTTGTTGTTGTTGTGGTTGTTGTTGTTGTTGTTGTGGTCGTTGTGGTTGTGGTTGTGGCTGTGGTTGTGGTTGTGGTTGTGGTTGTGGTTGTGGTTGTGGTTGTGGTTGTGGTTGTGGTTGTGGTTGTGGTTGTGGTTGTGGTTGTGGTTGTGTTGTTGTTGTTGTTGTTGTTGTTGTTGTTGTTGAACATTATTTATTCTAAAGAATAATTATTGTTGGGCCCCCTGGTGCGCGCCCCCCCTGCGCCGCCTAGGCCGCAGCTACATTTTCATCATTTTCGTGAGGAAGCCTCAGAAAAGAGGGTGTGTACAGGATCCGGTTGTTTTGTTGTAATCCGCTTTCCCTTGCAAAAAACAATAGAAAATGACATTTCTTGTTCTAATATAATCAAATTTCAAGAATCCCTTGCAAAAAATAAGGTAAAGTGGACATTCGCGCGCGCAAGACGAAATCCTTCCAAAACCTTAGTGTTCGCAGCGATTTTAACATAAAAACATAAAAAAAAAAACCAATGGTTTTTCAACAAAAAATTGTCAAAATCTCATCCCGCGCGCTCTTGCGGATTCGTAGGAAACCCAACACTTTTTAAACATTTCTGTCAAACGGGCTTTTGCGAGCAACTTTTTCGAACTTCTGCAACAACGGTTGCGCACCTGCCAGGGCCATCATCCCTGTCAAATAATACCATGCGGGACACATTCGTTTTTTCTTCGCGCGCGCACGCCGTCGTCGTCGGCCGCGGGGCCCTGAATAGTAGCCACGGTCGTCCGCATGCCACGAAGTGAAGTGTCCGAACGTCATAGGGCGGGAAGCTGGGTGTGGGTGGTGGCGAAGAGTCGTTTGGAAATTTGGTAGAGCTTGAACCGGCCCCCCCACAAAGTGGGGGTATTGCCCGCCTCCTATGAAAACCCTGGCACTGGTGAGAACGGAGTGTCCCCACGTGCTAGTAATTGTTGTTGTTGCTGTTGTTGTTGTTGTTGTTGTTGTTGTTGTTGTTGTTGTTGTTTTTTTCCGTCGCTCACCTGCTGGCGGTGGGCCTCGCCTCTGCCCTGCCTCCCTCTCCGCACAGGAGGCGCTGCTGGCGTTCGACAAGCTGCACTCCATCCCCGGGGGGGCCGCGGGCCCCGGCGGGGAGGTGCCCGCGGCACCCCCCCGCCGGCGCCCGCCGAGGGGGAGCGCCCGGGAGTCGCGCGTGCCCCCCCGCGGGCGCCCGGGAGTCGCGCGCGTGCCCCCGGAGCTCCGACGCTGTGGTTTGTGGCGCTCTTGTCCGCGTGATGTCGACGGGTTTCTGATGCTCACAGCCTACAGTGCCGTTTTTGATACATGCTCCGCGTGCGGATCATGTATTAAAAGTGCAGGGATTTAGTAGTAACAACAAAAATGAGCTCATGCACGACATTATCCATAAATCAATCATGTAGTACAAATCCCATCTGTTCCCTACCTAGGCTCTGCCTAGAAGGTTTCTTACCCTGCATGCTTAAGGGGCCGGGCAGTGTAACACGCTCCGGGCGGTTCCCCCGGCATCCGCCCCGCGGTTCCCCCAGTCCCCTGGGAGTTTTGGCTTTAGCTTTAGCTTTAGCTTTAGCTTTATCTTAGCTTTAGCTTAGCTTTAGCTTAGCTTTAGCTTAGCTTTACCTTAGCTCCAGCTTAGCTCCAGCTTAGCTTCAGCTTAGCTTTAGCTTAGCTCCAGCTTAGCTTTAGCTTAGCTTCAGCTTAGATGTGACTTATATTTAGCTTATATTTAGCTTAACTTGATCTTAGCTTTAGCTTAGCTTTAGCTTAGCTGTAGCTTAGCTTTAGCTTAGCTTTAGTTTAGCTTTAGCTTAGCTTAGCTTTAGCTTTGTTTTAGCTTAGCTTTAACTTTGTTTTAGCCTAGCTTTAGCTTAGCTTTAGCTTAGCTTTAGCTTAGCTTTAGCTCCTCCTCCTTCTCCTCCTCCTCCTCCTCCTCCTCCTCCCCCTCATCCTCCCCCCCCTTCTCCTCCCCCCTTCTCCTCCCCCTCCTCCCCCTCCCCCCTCCTCCTCCTCCGAAGCGCAGACCCCGCCCTCGGGAGCCCGCGCGTCGGCTCCGGTCGCGGCCGCTGCCGCCCCCGGCCCCTGGGTGGAGCCTCCGGCGGCCGCGCCGCGCTTCCGGCACCGCTCGAGGAAGCGGAAGCGCGGCTGAGGGCGCCACACGCGAACCCTGCCCCTGCCCCCCCCGCGCCCTGTCTCCCCGATTAGGGCTTCGCGCGCCCCGCCCAGCTCTTAACCGGAAGGGTCCCGCTCCCGACCCGCCGACCAAAAAGTGTGCTCGTTCCCCTCCCGAAGAAGGCGGGAGGCGGCAGAGCCGCGGCCCCAGGGCACGCGCACGGCGCGGCACCTCGGGCTGTGCACGCCCTCCCTCATAGGAGGCAACTACTCGGAGGCCTTCGCCGGAAGGATTCACAGGGGGCCACGTGCGAGCCCTCCCCCTCAGAAACCGTGGGGGGTAGGGGTAGGGTTCGCATGTGGCCCCCTGGCGGATGAGGGCGCGTGGATCAGCGACGGCTCCCGCCTCCGTGCGCGAAGCCGACGCGCTCCGCCGCCGCATCGGGCGGCACTGGCCTCACGTGTCCGGGGCATTGGCCTTCCCCGATCCCGCGGACCCGGCGCCCGTGCGCCGGGTCCACGGATCCGCAGTCTCGCGCAGAGGGCGCCCCGCCCCTTGGGCCCCCCCGTCGTCACCCACGTGAACTGCGAGGTCATGTGGCAGCTCGGCGACATCCACGAGAAGCTGGGCAACACCGGGAGCCTCGGAGAAGGGGGGTCGGCTCTGCAGGAGGAGGGAGGGTGACGGTGATGGTGGTGGTGGTGGTGGTGGTGGTGGAGAGGTGATGTTGTCGTGATTGTTGTTGTTGTTGTTGTTGTTGTTGTTGTTGTTGTTGTTGTTGTTGTTGTTGTTGTTGTTGTTGAACATTATTTATTCTAAAGAATAATTATTGTTGGGCCCCCTGGTGCGCGCCCCCCCTGCGCCGCCTAGGCCGCAGCTACATTTTCATCATTTTCGTGAGGAAGCCTCAGAAAAGAGGGTGTGTACAGGATCCGGTTGTTTTGTTGTAATCCGCTTTCCCTTGCAAAAAACAATAGAAAATGACATTTCTTGTTCTAATATAATCAAATTTCAAGAATCCCTTGCAAAAAATAAGGTAAAGTGGACATTCGCGCGCGCAAGACGAAATCCTTCCAAAACCTTAGTGTTCGCAGCGATTTTAACATAAAAACATCAAAAAACCAATGGTTTTTCAACAAAAAATTGTCAAAATCTCATCCCGCGCGCTCTTGCGGATTCGTAGGAAACCCAACACTTTTTAAACATTTCTGTCAAACGGGCTTTTGCGAGCAACTTTTTCGAACTTCTGCGACAACGGTTGCGCACCTGCCAGGGCCATCATCCCTGTCAAATAATACCATGCGGGACACATTCGTTTTTTCTTCGCGCGCGCACGCCGTCGTCGTCGGCCGCGGGGCCCTGAATAGTAGCCACGGTCGTCCGCATGCCACGAAGTGAAGTGTCCGAACGTCATAGGGCGGGAAGCTGGGTGTGGGTGGTGGCGAAGAGTCGTTTGGAAATTTGGTAGAGCTTGAACCGGCCCCCCCACAAAGTGGGGGTATTGCCCGCCTCCTATGAAAACCCTGGCACTGGTGAGAACGGAGTGTCCCCACGTGCTAGTAATTGTTGTTGTTGTTGTTGTTGTTGTTGTTGTTGTTGTTGTTGTTGTTGTTGTTGTTGTTGTTGTTGTTGTTGTTGTTGTTGTTGTTGTTGTTGTTGTTGTTGTTGTTGTTGTTGTTGTTGTTGTTGTTGTTGTTGTTGTTGTTGTTGTTGTTGTTTTTGTTGTTGTTATTGTTGTTGTTGTTGTTGTTGATGTTGCTGTTGCTGTTGCTGTTGCTGTTGCTGTTGCTGTTGCTGTTGCTGTTGCTGTTGTTGCTGTTGTTGCTGTTGTTTTTGTGGTTGTGGTTGTGGTTGTTGTTAGTGTTGCTGTTGTTGCTGTTGTTGTTGTGGTTGTGGTTGTTGCTGCTGCTGTTGTTAGTGTTGTTGTTGTTGTTGCTGTTGCTGTTGTTGTTGTTGTTGGTGGTGTTGATTACAGGAGGAGCAGGGGGCAATTGCCACCGATAGCTATTGGAGTTGCGTTGCGAGCCAGGGAGAATCGACGTTCGACGGGCAGTTTTCCAACCGAGGAAAGTGCAATGCTGGAGGAAGGAAGCCAGTCATAGTTGCCTCATGTGGAAAGCGTGCGTTACCCACCAGGTTTTTTGTTGTTGCCGTTGTTATTGTCGTTGGTATTCTTGTATTTGCTGTTGATGTTGTCATTTTTTCTTTTTTTTGAAATTGTTTGCTGTTGTGTTTTGGGCTGCTGTTTGTTTGATTGTTGTGTTGCTGCTTCGTGTCTTCGTATGTTTTTGTTGTTTGTTGTTTTGTTTATCGTTGCTATTTTAAAGTTCGATCTGATGATTGCCGTAGCGGTGACACATATGTTGGTGATGGCGCGGATGACGATCATGATGATGATGCTGCTGATGATGCTGCTGCTGATGGTGATGATGCTTTTTATCACGATGACCGAGATGTTCCTGGTTATGGATGTGATGCTGAGGACGAGGAGGAGGACGCAGAAGGAGGTAAACGAACAAGAGGAAAAGGACAAGCAGGAGGATGGTGAGGAGCAGGGGGTGGATCAGGGGGAGCAGGCGGAGGGGGAGGAGCAGCGTAATCCCGGGATTCATCAACGATGCTGTAAGAAGTCTTCCGGTCCCAACCCTCTTCTTCCAGGGAGTTCCCACACGCCTTTCTGTTCACTGCAGGAAGAAAGTCATGCCCCGTGGAAACACGAGTTCCCTATGAGTCTGCCAGTCAGGCGACAGCCCCGTTTTGAAAAGGAGTGTGCATGCTCCATGCCCTTCTAGCGAAGTGTCCAGAAGGCGACATGGTAGGGTCCTCGAGTTCCGCGAGGTTTCTGGCGCGGCGAGGGCGTTTCTTCGAAGCGAAGCCGACCCCCACCCCCCTGCCGTTCGAGTGCTGCACACTGCTGAACGGTTGGCAGTCTGCCGCTGGGGGGCCGCTGCGGGGGCCCCCCTTCTGAGGACAGGAGCTGCTCTCTCCGTGCGTGCGGGCTCGCGGTCCGGGCCGCTCCGCCTGAGGGAGCCGCACACGATTACCAGCCTGGAGCATATCCCTATCCCTATGCTGGGCATCTCCTCCTCACGACGCCAATCTTGAGGACTCCCTTATTTTTCTGAGGGCGCACCCCTAAGACTGTCATCGCCTTTTGGCGTGTCAATCTTGGGAATGGGGATAAGTTCGAGGCTGGTAAGCACGAGGGCCGCCCTTCCGAACAGGAGCCGCCCTCCGCCCTCGCGTGCAGGGTCTGGCCCGAAGAAGGAGCACGTGCTTCTCAGGAGGGGCTCGGCGGTTCCTTTGGTTCGCACGCGCTCCGCTGCCCTTTGTGGCGGCGAGTCCCCCCCCTTGGTGCTCCTGCGGACTTCGTAGGCTTGCTCGGAAACAAAGGCGCTGCGTTCCCGGTGTATCGTTCCTCAGGTCAGGCCGGATACCGTAGCCGTCATGAGTTTTTTGGGACCAGCGTGAAGGTGCTAGGACGAGAGCTTCCTGGAGCTTGCAACGCGAGTGCACGTGGCACATTGTGAAAAAGGGCCCGCCCTCTCTCTCCGTGCAGCTGTCGCAGGTCTCAGGCTTCAGGATAGTGCGGTGGGGAGTTCCACGCAGACACAATGGATCGTCGACTCCCAGGAAAATTTTAGGAAAATGTGGGAAGTGGGGGGGAAGATGTGGGGAATCGTGGGATTCGTGTGCACTTCTCTGTGTGCCCCTGGGCCCCTTTGGTGCGGCTGTCCCGCCGCACTGGCACGTCGATGGTGGGGTGCGGCAGGGAGGACTCCTCCCCGGAGGGGAGGCACGGAGGCAGCTCCTGGAAGCACGGACGATGGAGATCGAAGGAGGAGGAGGAGGAGGAGGAGGAGGAGGAGGAGGAGGAGCAGGAGGAGGAGGAGGAGGAGCAGGAGGAGGAGCAGGAAGAGGAGGAGGAGGAGGAGGCGAAGGACGAGGGGGAGGAG